CAAGGGGAGAAAAGGATGGAGCTTGAGACATTCATAGGCTGCTTATGCTGCTGCTGCAGTAGCTCCTGACTTGTGATTTAGTAGTGAAATAATGATGTGCAATAATTCAGAATGGTCTCTCTTTCTTCTAGTCATAAATCTCCTTTCTTGGGAAGGAGAGGCAAGATGTCTTACTTTCTACTTGCTGGGTTCTGTCCATGTGTAAGTGGCTTTCCATACAGGAGACAATTCATGCTGCAAATGCACAACTCTTCTAGTATCCTGCTCTCATTTCCATCTGTGCCAGTAGCAACTCTGTATAAATCCTGTAATGCTTATGGTCCCAGGAAGTATCTCTTGGATAAATAGGAATAGGAAAAGCTTCAGGCAAACATGGTAATTTTTAATTTCATGAGCCTTATTTTATAGATGAGCCTTAGGGTTGGGGTTTTTTCCCTTGGAAAGGGATGTATACACGTTTTTAACTATGATGCTGAATTAACCACTCAAGATGAATGCTGCAGAATTTGTAACTGGAGAGGAGTCACTACATCATAGCCTTTTAAAATGCAGTTTGCAAGTATGAATTTTGTTCTGCAGTTTCTAAGCTACTTCAGAAAGCAAAACTGGACACACAGACTCAAGCTCACAGCTGCTTTCATACCTGCTGACTTGTACCAGTGACACGAGACAAGATGTGTAGATGTGTCTCATGCGCTAGGCAACAAAGCCTTTTTTTTTTCTGCAGTGACTAAATAATCCGACACTGCAGAAGAATTACGGCACTTATTTAAGGGTTTGAATATGCAATTAAGCATCTAATTTTAAACATGCACACTCAATAATATTGGGCTTTGCTACAATGTTACTTCCTTTTTATGGTGTCTGCCAACTGCTGAAGTATGCATTAGTACGTTTGACATATTAATGTGTTTTAGTAATGGAGGTACCTGTTCAAGCAGAGCAGCCAAATGGCCACAAAATAGATGTCTGAGGTGAAATCAGAGACTGTAATAAACAAGGGGAAACTGCTTGTCTTTATGATGTACTGAAATCCCTATCTCCCATCTGACTTGAAAAGCTGGACACAGTTGGTGGAGTCCTTATATGCTTAGGGCCTAGCATCCCCTCTCACCAATTACCACATGCATTATTTTATTTGGTTTTCTTGATGCTTTTTCCTACCCCTTTCTCAGGCTCTTTTTTTTTTTTTTTTTTTACAGGTTTGTAGTATTGTTCCTGTAATTCTAATTAAGCATATTCTGGCTTGCTCATAAACTAAAATCAAGTATTTAGCTATTACTCTAGCCTACCTGGTTATAATGAAGGTACAGGGCTTTCCCAGTTGCTGAGTGGAGCTTTCTCCATTGTCTTTGAGCAGGTCTGAAGCAGTGAAGGTACTGTGTGCTGTCTGTGCACGCTGAATTACTGTGGGCACTCCCCAGGTATTGCAGTTGCTGATCTTTGCTTTACAGTATTGCATACCTATCGCTCACTTGCCAGATTCTGTACACTGGATGCTCATTGAGATGACATTTGAATATAGTCCGTTTTTTCCCAGTG